GGGGGTTGCGGGACGCGCCCAGACCCTCGGGCCTTTGGGCCACAGGAAACGCCCAGGCAGGCGTGTGCCACGTCGAGAGACGTCGGCCCGAGCGCGGAGGGGGACACCGTGTGCCTGGCCGCGCCCGGCCCACAGCTTTGGTTTGCCCGCTAGGATTGCGTTAAGAAAATGGCAGACAAGCCAGACATGGGAGAAATTGCCAGCTTCGATAAGGCCAAGCTGAAGAAGACGGAGACGCAGGAGAAGAACACCCTGCCGACCAAAGAGAGTGAGTGCGCCCCCGCTTCCCGGTCCACCTCCCCCCCCACGCTCCCGATCGGCCCCTCCCTTACCAGCCCCTCACCCACCCCAGCCCATGCCCCGGGCTGGGCAGCCCCTGCCACCCGTATGTTACATAGAGTGCCTTATCTTTGCCAACCCCAAGCCTCTTTCTTAGTCCCCAGACCTCGTGGGTGCCTCGCCCATACCAGGTTTGTAAGCGCCGGGGCTGGGGATTTGCGAGGGGCCCTCCCTCCCCAATCAATGCACGCTTCTCGCTCTCCACAGCCATTGAGCAGGAGAAGCGGAGTGAAATCTCCTAAACCTGGAGGAAGAGTCACCTGCAAGATGGACACGAGCGACAAGCTGCACTGTGAACCCACCGGCCTCCGGGTCTCCGAAGGGATTACCAAATTCTCCGGTCTGCCCTGGGATACTATAGAAAATTATTTGTATGATTAATGAAAATAAAACACACCTCGTGGCATAGCTGGCGTGGTCTGAGTCTCTTAGTTGAGCATGCAGGGACAGTGCCGCTGCAGCAAAGCTCCCCACCGAATGAATCCCAGTTCCTGCCGCAGAGAGGGGAGGAGGAGGGGTCCAGCAAATGGCTGGCTCTGGGGGATCATTTCCACTGGGCTTTGCCGTCTTCCCCAAAAGATTTTGTGGGTTATCAGCTATTGATAATGCCATCCTTGTAGGATCCACACAAAACTCAATCCACTTTGCCCATCCTGGAAGCTGTTTTGGAAAATGCTTTAATGAACGGGATTTGGTGTGGATACGCTTTTGTAGTCTGTCTATTTTCCTCTTGGCCTCCTCAGAGTGTTGATTCATACTAAGCGGGGGAGGGGGGAGAGGGCACCAGGAGACAAAATCTGCAATGTTAAAAATTGACCGGGGCCAAAAAGTGTTCTCCCCAGGCCGCCTTTTGGAGTTTAAGAGGGGGCATTAGAACAAAAGCAAAGAGCATCTCGGGAAATGAGCTAGAAGAGCCATGGAGGACAGCCTAGCTTTTTTGTCTTGATAACTCGAAAACCTTCCACAAAGTCATTAGCCATTTAGAACAGCCTCCTGTGCTGTGACACCCCCATTCCCAGAAAGCTGCATAGACAAGGCTGGTGCTCACAGCAGAGCTGCCGCAGGGTCCCACTCTCTGGGTCGTGGGAAAGGGGTGGGGTAAACAAGTCCTGTGGGGCCCAGGGGAGGGTGTTCAGGACCAGAAGAAACAGGCTTGCGGTTCTAGAGGTAGAGTTTCTTTAACGAGGATCACTGCTTAGAGATTAATTCGACATTTCTAACCTGCTGGAGAGAGACTGGACAGTGGGTGAAGGCAAGCAGCTCCCTGACTACAAAGAACTTACAATGTGGTGGGTGAGACAGGCAGCCAGATCTGGGAACACAGACAGGAGATACTGCTGGTTTTGCATAAAGGAGTGAGTTGGCGGGGAGACCTGGGCTGTCAAAAGGCCAGTGGGGAAGTGGTAGAAGGGAGGAAAATGAATCAGGAGGGCAGCCAGTTGGGGGTCATTAACCTTTACTGAGGGCGTATTAGGTGCCAGACACGAACAGGGGCTTTCATTCTCTTACCAGGGAGGTATGGTCGCCAGCCCCAGGTCCCAAGGGCCTTCGAGATTTGCTAAAGTCACATAGCCAGTGGGTGATGGGCCAGAATTCCTGGCCAAACATATGCTTTGGAAGGTTCCACAACTTTATTGTGGCATGCTCACTACTCCCAGTGCATGGTAACCGACCCTGCTGGGAGGTTTGAAAAAGAAAAACAGGAAATCATTTCTGTTTCAAACAATGATACAGTCTGCTGATAAGAAGGCATTGGGCTACTCCTAACCAGAAGGTTGCCAGCTCAGACCCACCAGCTGCTCTGAGAAAGAGGCTGTCTGCTTCTGGAAAGAGGGCAAGCTGATGAGATGGAAACAGGTGGGAGAAAGATAGGGATCAGAGACGGGTGAAATGCTATTGCAAAAATCTCATCCCACCACAGGTTTATAAGGAAAGCCTAGCTGCCCCGCCCTCATTCCAGCTCCTGAACTGCACCCAGGAATGTATATCTAGATAAATGGCTAGTTTAGATAGCAGGCATAGCATAAAAACTCCAAAGGAGCCCAGCCTCGAGGCTGCATATGCCCGGATCTCAGGAGAAGCACGGTGTCAGAGATCCCGAAAGCACCCCGTCCCATGCCTTCTACCTCTTCCTGCCAGTTTTCTTGCCACTTGGGAACCTTGGTGCCTTGGGGAGAATTCTAGGAGTCCCTGAGTGGTGCAGACAGTTCATCTCTCAGCTACCAACCTAAAAGGTGTGGGCTGGAACCCTCCCCGAGGTGACTCAGAAGAAATGCCTGTTAATCTGCTTCTGAGAGATCACAACCATGAAAGAAAAAAATAAAAACCGTAGGGCAGGCAATCTTACTCTGCAGCGTGAAGAGTGGGCCAGCCTGGGTTAGACTTGACTGGATGGAACTGGATTGGGAAGTTGTACTGAATGACTGATCCATGTACGGCTTTTCCTCCTGAGGATTTGGAACCCATTTACTAGTTCAGTCACTAATTGGTTGAGACTTGATCTGAAACTAAAATACAATTTAATCACACCTGAATTTTGGGTTTCACTTTCTGTTTCCTATCCAGAACAAGTCCTGAATAGATTTGAGGATTTGGGACTTTGCTGTAACAGTGGGCTTCGGGCTAAGGAGGGTCCCCAGACCTGCCCCCTATTTCCAGAACCCCAGCCCTTCCATGAGGATGTGCAGAATGCCTGGGATGTGCCAGTCATTGTTCTTGGATCTGGGAATACAGGCTAAGAGAACCCCATCCTGCCGCTGAGGAATGTCCGGTCTAGATTTAGAGGTTGGATCAAGCTCTCTTCCCAACACTTCCCAGTCCCACCAATCCTTATCTCGTGCTTCTTTCACTCTCAGGCAAACATCTTACTTTCTCAGAATATTAGATGCTTCTGTTTTCATACCACCCCCATTGTCCACCCCCCACCCACACCCACACCCCACTGCAAAACCTTTCTACTCCCTCCCTCAGCCATCTCCTTACTTTTCATTTGTAGCATGATCGATGCAAGGCCCTGAAAGGTTAATGGAGGGCCTCTGGGAACCAGATAGTAAAGAGATCATAATGGCACCGAGGATCTGGCTAAAGGAAGAGGACATTGGAAGGTAAAACCTTCATGAAGACCCCCCAGAATGACCAAAGTCAGAAAGTGTCACAGTGCTAAGTGCTGGCAAAGAGGTAGAGCCACTGGAATACTCACACACTGATGATGGGAAATTTGCTCCAATCACTTAGGAAAATGGCGGAAGAATTTCTACCAAAGCACATGCAACATATGGACATCGGCATATGAAAATATGCAACTCGATGACCCAGCAACACCACACCTAGTCATAGATCCCAAAGAAATGAGTGCATAGGCCCACCAAAGGACATGTTCACAAATGTTCCCGGCGCAGTATTCAGAAAAGCAGAAACAGCCCACGTGTCCATCAGCAGAATGGATAAACAAATGTCGTGTGTTCACACAATGGATTACTACTCCACAGTAAAAGGGGATCAGATACTGTCTGATTCTGTTTAGATTAAATTCTGGAAAAATCAAAGCTGATTTTTTTTTTGTTTCATAATCCATTCATTTCCAAAGTGTTCTAATTTTTTTGTACTACTGAGCTCAGAAAAAAATATTTTTCTTTGCAAATGCAGATTATGTAACATCTCAACTCTCATGAGTTTTAGCAGACTTTTTTTCTGTACAATTCTGCTACATCGTTTTGATTGCAGCTCTTCTGAGTTATTTTAGACTTTGAGAATAGGTCTTTAAACATCTATCCTTTTTTTGTTGGGGGAGGTGGGGGGAATTCTAAGCTTATTCCTTCAAGAACTTGCAAAAGCAAAACCACCAGGTTTCTCCTCCAAGCTGTTTCAGAGTCCAGTCCTGACCGAGCAAGTTAATATGCCTTGAACAAGAAACAGGGTTTTTACCAATGTTTCCTGGAAGTGATTAGCAGGTTTCTAACAATGTCACAGGATTCAATGGCTCCACTAAGAAGGCAGGCTTTGCAGTGATCACTGGGAGATGATCTATCTCTACAGTTCTCCAAGGGCCATTAGACCACCATACCCTGAAGCTTCCTGTACTTTTGTTTACTTAAATTGGGATGATGCTTCCGTGTTTGGCTTTACCAGATCATCACCCCAGGCCTTCAGCCTGGGATGCTTCTATCTGGCTACTTATCTTAATGACCTTGCTAGCCTCCCTCCTGAGTTGGAACATCCCTGCTGATAAAGCAAAGCTAAATCTTTTTTTATATATCATTTTATTGGAGACTCATAGTTCTTATCACAATCCATACATATATCCATTGAGTCAAGCACATTTGTACAAATGTTGTCATCATCATTTCAAAGCATTTTCTTTCTACTGGAGCCCTTGGTATCAGCTCCTCATTTTTTTCCCTCCCTTCCCCACCCTCCCTCCCTCAGGAACCCTTGATAATTTATAAATTACTACTATTTTTTCATGTCTTAAACCATCCGTTGTCTCCCTTCACCCACTTTTCTGTTGTCCATCCCCCAAGGAGGGGGTTATATGTAGATCATTGTGATCAGTTCCCCCTCTGTTCCCCATCTTCCCCTTCCCCTCCTGGTATCACTACTCTCATTATTGGTCCTGAGGGTTTTATCTGTTCTGGATTCCCTGTGTTTCTAGCTCTTATCTGTATCAATGTACATGCTCTGGTCTAGCCAGACTTGTAAGGAAGAATTGGGGTCATGATAGTGGGGTGGGGGCCAAGCATTGGTTTTGCTCTGTCTTGTTTTTGTGCATGTTGTTGTCTCTGCAGGCCTGTCTGGATAGGACAGGCTGGATGAACAATCTGGAGGAGAAAACAACGGGACTGACAGTTCC